TTGCTATGCAACAAAGAAACTGCAAAGATCTTCTTAGTGCATGCTTAGTAGCCACAAGTAACGGGGACTCCGGATTCCAGAATCCGGGAAATGTTTGCTTGTGGAATCCGTAATATTGGCCTTTGGAATCCGGATTACAGCTCAAGGAATCTGGAATCCCACTAACGATTGCAACCAGGAATGCAACTTTCACTGACAAAGAATGCGGAATCCACTACAAGGATCCGGAATCCACGGCTTGAAATCCAGAATCCAAGACTATCTTGGATTCCCTTGCACGGGGTCAGCCTAGCGTAAGCTAAGAAAGAGTTAAATAAATTAGCGATTAATGTAACTCATCAATCCCGCTTCTGTAACTGATTTGTCCACCGCACTGAAAGATGAATAACAAAACTTATTTTGAATTTGGCTGGAAGAATTCCATAAGCTACCTGTAGCTTTAATGTCAGACGAAATTAACAATCTTCTCCTCTACGTGAAATGTCGAGTTGACATCTTTGCAGTATCTGTGTAAACGATTTTTATCAGTAGAAGAAATTATCCATCGGTCTACGGTCAATAGCTCATTACTAGATTTGTCGACGTCCACCCAAGTTTTGGAATAATCTGCCGCCAGTCTGTTCCTTCTTTTTCCTCAGTTACGAACTCAATAAACTCTGTAAGTATCCCTCACCAGCTCTCACCTGATTCTAACGACGTCAACACTCCCAATACTTGCAAATCAATCTGCCCCACGCCCAAGTGCAGTGCTGCGGGTAACACAATATTCTGTCATGGAGAAAAACTTTTCAATACTCGTGATATTTCAAAACCTCCAAGCAGATGGTTTAGAACATAACTTAAGGGAAAATTTAATAGATTTGGCAGAAATTTAATATATACTTTCATACGTATAATTCTATTTTTCAAGGGTACACTTGAATTAGAGCATCGCTCTGTTGTTTGCGTGGCCCTCGCCATTGTTTTTTGTTTTCGTTTTTGCAAATAAAGCAAATAAATAAATCTAAAATATTGTGCTTTCTCCGTTTCCCGTTGCACTGGGAGGAATAATATATTTTTTCAACAAATAACTCTAGTGTATAGTCCTAGTTGCTCCTATGGAACCATTCCCCTTTCCACCAACCCCCCTCCGAAGAAAACAAACGGTTGGGAAAAAGCCATGCGAAATAATGATTAAAGTAGTTTGAATTCCTCAAGATAAGGAAGATAACCCCCCTAGAACCAAAGCAAGATGGTTCAAAGTAATTATGTCGCTCCAACAGTAAATTATCTGACGATATCATGCAGCTTGGCTCAAACCCGAAAAAATTAAAGCGATTAAATGTGATTAACCTTTAGAGTCAACATCGTTTTATGTTGCCGATGACTGTTTAAACACACCAAGCTTAAATGATAGTGTATATTGCCTTGTTATTTTTCCTTCGGTGAAGGACGTTCTCGAAGACAGACATTAAAAATAAAACAAAGCGTTTGTTGACGCTGTTATTTTTTCTTTTTGTAATTTTGTGATTATGTAAACGTGATGACTTAAGGCAACATGCGTCCATGTAAGGTTCATATTTTCTGGCCTGATAGACTTAAAATTGATTCTCCATAACGTGTATTCTCATGATGATAACAATTACTCCTAATTGCTAAACTTGCTGGTACGTTTTATAGCTGAAGTCATGCAAAGAAGTCGTAAAAAAAAAC